CTTTGTCCTGATGGGAGGATATTTACAACCCCCAACGTAAGAATTTACTCAGGTTCATTCACTGGACCCAAGCGTTCTTTGACCGGAGCTTTGCCTCGATCATTAGGTAAAGGACCAAGGTGATCTGCCATCGTAATCTTAAATTTTGACAAGTCGGGACAAACCCTTGGCTTCACTGGTGACATAGCAGATGCGGTTGCAGTAAATGGACCAGGAACGGATGTCGAAGGAGAAACCTTGGCAGCTTCCCTTTGACCGAGACACTTGTGTGTGTCTCAGACATGGCTGCTTTGTCCGAGACAGTTGTATGTGTCTCGGATATGGCTCATTTGGCCGAGACACTTACAAGTGTCTTGGTTGAATGGAACATCCTTTGAATTTGATTTTTGCGCAAGTTTAGATTTTAGAATCCAAACTTTGTGACTTCTTGATGATTCTTTGGTCACCATTTCCCTCTTCCCTCCTTGTCTTTGTTGCAGAAGAGCGCGGGCACAAGCGGCGTTTGCACGACGCTTTTGTATGCGCTCTTTAAAGGTCGAATGAGCCCTTTTGACGAGAGTCCATTCCTCTGTCGTAAGTTTAGCAGAGATGTGAGTGGTTTGTCATTGAGGTGACCGGACCACTTGATGTTTCATCGACTCTAGGTTCGCGTAGTAGCAAACCCCGTCGGTTTGTTCCAAGGACTTAGCCATTTGACGAGTGCGGCGCTGACGTTGTCTCTAACGAGCCCTCTTTGTCAGTGCAGGTGGCTTTGATTCAATGACTCCTTAACTAGAGAAGAGTCATTGTGAGCAGAGGTGTTGCGAGTAGGAACCTCAGCAATAATCGGGCGAGAGTCTTCACCCATAGCATTCGACGGAGCTGAAAACTTAAAAACCTTCTTAGAAGATGAAATCTTCCTGCATTTGTGGGGCGAGGAAGACTTTACAGATGAGGATGAGAGATACTCCTCCAACTTTGCTTGGTCGAATTCGTACTCAACCTTGGACTCAACCAGTATCTTGATCGGCTACGACACGATGGTCTCGACAGCGAGACTATTGGCTCCCACTATGGTCGCCTACGTGTTTGCGTCGGGAACAAGTTTCATTGTAAAATTCATTATAATTGTTTATCGATTACAATGAATAAAAAAGTGTAAGCTTCGTGCTTTGTAAAACTACTCTTTACAACAAAATGAAATTACATTGCTCCTTAAAAACACACGCAGGATCGTTTGGGATCTTTGCTTGCGTGAGATCTTTGCCTGTGTCAGGGGTGCGTTAGCCTGTGAACCACCGAATCACAGATTCAGATTGAACTGTGAAGGTTATTTAAGAATTCTTTCTTTGTTTAGAAGTAAGAAAAGAAGTGAATATCTTATCAGTGTAAGATGAACACTCTTCTTAAGATCCAGTCAAAGCTTAGATCTCAAGGAATCACAAGAACTCTAAAAAGGGCTTGCACGTGATGAAGACTCTCTCTTTCTTGTTTTGAATTCGTCAAATTGCTCAAGTTTCTCTGCTTAATCTGCTTCTTCTTTGTCAATAACGGTCCTAGTGGGTATTTATAGCCCATAGGAATGATAACTAAAGTTAAAAGATCAAAACAAAATGAATTGGTAACCTCCTATTTCTTAGACACATTCCGTGTCTCAGAAGAAAGAGTCCAGCCCCCCACGTTTTGTAACGGATTTTCCTTCTTTAATGCCCATTATCTCTACAGTCATGGGCGTGTTTTACGCTTATGATAGTCCCCCACGTTCACACACGATCCTCAGAAGTTATAGAGCCACGTGGACCGCACGCAACCCAAGAAAATCGTCAATAAAGCACTGATGCTCCCTCATAGTTTGTGTCTCGGAAGCTATAAGTTGTCTCATAGATACTGTGACACAGTTTACCAAGATGAGCTACATCGAAGATCTAGATTGCTTGGGTAAATTAGTTTAGGTGTTATATTGTGTGTGTTTAACACTTCAAGCTCAATATGATATACACACACAATTTTTTGGTTTATCCGTTTTGTGGTTTATTCACAAACAAAGTTTTTACCAGAAATAGATATATATTCATATACATATATATTTGTTTTCATGTGGATAAGTTGTTTTGGTATTATAGATATGAAACTATAGTTATATTCATATACACTTTCATATGTTTCATATTCTATTGTATTTGGAAAAATATTATATTTTTGGTTTATAGAGTTAACAACAATAGTTTATATATTTTATCAAGTCTATATAATTATTTTATAAGGTTTCAAAAGTTTGTTTAAGCCAAAATGTCAAAAACAAATGTGTTGACATTTTCATGCTTTAGACGATTTTGCAAAATGAATATATTTCTCATTTATGAGGTGCAAATCTAAAAATACTTTTTGTAACATGTTCAGTATCATATTTACAATCATTTTCCAAAGTTTTATATTTTTTGGAATTTATTTGCTATTTTTAAAAGAGGTTTAAAAATCAGATTTACTGTTTAAATCAGACTGATAAACTGTTATCACTCGACTGATGGATTTTATCAGTCGATTTATGAACTCGTCTAGAATTGCCAAAAGTTTCTATTTTTGTGACTGATGAACTATCAGTTGACTAATGAGTTTATCGGTCGACTGATGAGGTCTTCAGTCGACTGATCCAACCCGTCAATCGATTGATGGCCTCTAATGGCTATATTTTCAAGCTTTATACTTTTTTGGTTTTTTGGTCTTTTTGCTGGGTTTTCTTGATCTTTGGGGTTCCCTATATATACCTCATTATACCCAGCTCTGTTTTTTAAACAAAGAAGAGTTTTAAAAAGATTTTACAAGTTTGTATAAGGGTTTTAAAGTTTGTATAAGGGTTTAGAATTATATATATGAACCCACAAACCCGACCCAAAACCCAACATGACCCAAACCTGTCAAACTGACTGGCCGTTGTGCGGTCGACCTCCACGCCCAGTGCGGTCGCCCGCCGCGCCCAGTGCGGTCGACCGCACAACATAAAAACCATTGTGCATGTTCGTTTGTGTGCTGGTCTATTTCACTTGATTTCTCTCACATAAATATTCTTGTTTGATTCCCAAACACTTGTTATCACATTCATCTATGATATAAATATATTTTTCACAATAAAAACTCATTACTTAAATTTTACGGGGTTTTACATTCTCCCCCCCCCCCTAAAAGAATTTCATCCTCAAAATTCCGAAATCGTATCTCAAAAATTAATAATATGAGAAAAGCACGTCGGGAGTAATTAAATTCCCACATACACATCTCATAGCATTAATTTCCAGATATGAACATAGTGATATCTAAAGTTAACAACCTAGAATACAAGTATTCGCACCTTAATCCCTAACTAAATGAAATTAGTACGTCGAGCGAAATAATCCAAACAAGGAAACCCTCATGTATATACCATATGTTTTTCAAATGATTAAGGATCAGGTGACAATACCCCCATTCTAGTGTTAAAGATAAATATAACTATCCCAAAATCATCATAAACCATAAGAAAACATAATCCAAACAATTTACCTGCTCAAATAGGTGTGGGTAGTCGCGACGCATATCCTCTTCGCGCTCCCACGAAATCTCCTTAGATCCTCTCCGGTTCCATTGGACTTTCACCAAAGGAATCACTTTAATTATAAGCTTCTTGTCTTCTCTAGAAAGTATACAAACTGGGACCTCAATCGTAGTCAAATCATCCTGAAGCTCAATCTCCGGAGTATCCAATACTCGCTGTCTCTCCTCATCATGTAAATGCTTCTTGAGCATAGAAATATGAAGTACATCATGCACACTAGACATCGATGCTGGAAGGTCTAGTCTATATGAAACATCCCCAATACGCTCCACAATCAGAAAATGTCTAATATATCTCGGGGCAAGCTTTCCCCGTCTACCAAATCGCTGCACACAATTCATTGACGATACCTTCAGCATGATAAAATCTCCCACCTGAAACTCTAAAGGTCGCCGTCTGTGATCCGTGTAGCTCTTCTGCCGACTTTGAACGGCTATAATACGCTCCCTAATCAATGCTACATTTTTGGTAGTTTGCCTCACAAGCTCTGATCCAAGCATCAAGCTATCCTCCGGCTCTGCCCAACATATAGGGGATCTACAATGCCTCCTGTACAATTCCTCATACGGAGCCATACAAATCGTTGCTTGATAACTATTCTTATAAGAAAACTCTATCAATGGAATATGATCCTCCTAGCTACCTTGAAAATCAATGATACAAGTTCGCAGCATGTCCTCCAAAACCTGGTTCACTCTCTCTGTCTGACCGTCTGTCTGAGGGTGAAATACACTACTGAGCAATAATCTGCTGCCGAATGAATCCTGGAAACTCCTCCAAAAGTGCGAGGTGAAAACTGATCCTCGATCTGATACAATCGTATCTGGGACCCCGTGAAGTCGAACTATCTCCCGGATAAATATTCTCACATATGCCTCGGCGGTATAAGTGGTCCTCACTGGAATAAAATATGCCGACTTCGTAAACCGATCAACGATTACCCATACTGAGTCGTTCCCCTTCTTCGACTTCGGCAACCCTACAATGAAGTCTATAGAAATGTCCGCCCACTTCCACTCTTGAATGGGTAGAGGCTGAAGTGTCCCTGCCCTTTTCCCGACGCTTATTCCCGACGCATGGTTAAAAACGTCGCCAAAAATTATGTTTTTCCCGACGCTTTTAGCTAGCGTCGGCAAAAAATATATATTTCCCGATGTTTATAATTAGCGTCGATAAAAGTGTATATTTTTAGCGACGTTTTAACTTAACGTCGGTAAAAGTTATGGATTTCCCGACATTTTTTCATTTTCGTCGGCAAAAGTATAGTTTTTTAGCGACGTTTTAGGATTAGCGTCGCTAATAGTGTGCATTTATCGCGACATATTAGGCTAACGTCGCTAAAAGTGTTCTTTTCCCAACGTTCCTCCTTGGCGTCGCTAAAGGTTACATTTTTACGACGCTTCTTTATTTATCAGCGTCGCCAACCCCCCACCCCCCTCCCCCCGAAAATTTCCCCACTCGTACAAAGGAGGGAAAATTCCCCCCATTTATTTTCACGAAGAGCTAAAAAACCCTCTCGCTCGCTCTACCCCGCTCTAATGGCGGTCAAATCTAGGGTTTGGATCTCTTCGATTTTTCTCGCTTTATTCGTTTTTTCTTCGGTTTCTTCAGTTAGGGTGGAGGAGGGGACCGAAGCTAAGCAGGAGGATTCGTCGGTTCTCACGCTCGACGCGTCGAACTTCGACGAGGCGATCGCTAAGCATCCCTTCGTCGTCGTCGAATTCTACGCTCCTTGGTAATTTCTTATTCTTTGATGTTTGATTTGGGGTCGTGATCGCTTGATTGTGTTTTTGGGGGAGCAGATCTCTGCTCAAGTTCATTTAGGGTTTACCCTATGTGGTTCAAAGCTGGCTCTTTGATGATATGATTTCAAGGATTTTAAAATTTTAAGATGGTGGCATGTGGTGTTAGTTGCTTGTCACTTCTAATTAATGATGGAAGAAATAAGAACAAGGTTCAGCAACTTAATTTTCGCTTACTTCTACTGAATTATGGAAATTTTTAGGGATAATACTGAACGTTTACGTGGTCGTGGGTTTACAGTGTGGTCACAAGAAGCTTACATGGATCACCCAAAAAAATGATGAGAATAATATTAGTTTGTAAGAATTAAAAATTTTGCATTTGTTTCTTAGGTTTTTTTTTAATCTTTCAAGAATCGGGAATCCCATTGCAAATATACTATTATCTTATCATGCATGTCTAAGCTGATGCTTTTATGGAGCATTTTAACATACATAATAAAAAAGGTGTGTTATGAATCGAAACTTCACTCGAAGTACCTATTTTATGTTGTCTCGTGCTGGCAACTGATTTCATATTAGGGAAAAAAAACAGACTTTGTATGTTTCCAAGTCACTGAAGTTTGCTTTTTCTTTATTTGTCCTTGCAGCTTGTTTTGTATGTTTTTCTTCTGTTGAGGAATGGGGATGGTAGACATATGCACGTACTAGACCTAGATCATGACTCAGTAGCTTGACATGATATATAGCATCTATTATCAATGTTTCTTTATCTCTTGGGGACGGTATGAAGGGGCATGATCTTCTTCTTTGTTTTAATCGGAATGGGAGCATTGGGCTGTTGAATCAGGAGAATTAGATCCCATGTAAGAAGCTTTCCTCGTGTCTAGTTGTGTGTCTGTAGAACCGAGTATTAAAACATGCAGTTAGCATTGATATATTGGAACTTATGAACAGCAGATGATGAATGGCCTTTGCATTATTCTGTGGCTACAGCTATAATGTGAGTGAGAAACTACACATTACTAACTACATGTTACACTCCTAATTTGACAGGTGTGGACACTGTAAGAATCTGGCTCCTGAGGTAATAATTTAAGAAAACAAGCTACAGTGCCTATAGTTCCATTGATATACGTTGACTACACATTACTATTTTCCTTCTTTTATTTGTTTTGGATTCCTAAAAAATTTTAGTATTTTTTCCTTGTAGTATGAGAAAGCTGCATCGGTGCTGAGTAAGCATGACCCTCCAGTTGTTCTTGCTAAAGTTGATGCTAATGACGAAGTCAATAGAGAGCTTGCCACTAAGTATGAAGTGAGCGGCTTCCCCACACTAAAGATCTTTAGGGATGAGGGAAAGAATATCCAAGAGTACAAAGGTCCTAGGGATGCTGATGGCATAGTTGAATACTTGAAGAAGCAAGTTGGTCCTGCTTCTGCTTGTGTTTTTGGGGGATGAGGGAAAGAATATCCAAGAGTACAAAGGTTCTAGGGATGCTGATGGCATAGTTGAATACTTGAAGAAGCAAGTTGGTCCTGCTTCTGCTGAGGTCAAATCCTCGGATGATGTTGCAAACCTCATCAATGATAAGAAAGTTATTATTGTAAGTTCTCAATTTGTGCTTCCTTCCTTTCTCAGTATTTTTTCTCTGATTTTCTCAATAGCTCGTTGCAAGCTCTCAAATCCTGTTAACTGTTATTGTAGGTGGGGATTTTCCCTGAATTTTCTGGTCAGGAGTTTGAGAACTTCATGTCAGTTGTAGATAAATTGTGTTCTGAATATGAGTTCATCCATTTATCGGATGCTAAGCTCCTTCCTCACAGGGATTCATCTGTTAAGGGACCCGTAGTTAGATTACTCAAGCCCTTTGATGAACTTTCTGTTGATTGTCAGGTACTACTAACATACCTGTTTCAATACTCCATTCCTGTTTACAAATTGGCAGATACATATGCTTTGCAAATTTCTTAAAAAAAACATGTATTGTCATCTACAGCAAGCAGATGTGTCTATATACTGGGGACGTGATTCTTCTCTTTTGATTCATAGTCTAAGTAGTGGATCCATTATGTTTTCCCCCTTTTGCGCAGGATTTTAATGTGGAAGCATTAGAAAACTTCATTGAAGTTGGTAGTGTGCCTATTGTCACAACTTTTAACAAGGATCCCACCAACCACCCTTTTGTCATTAAATTCTTCAACAGCGACAATTCCAAAGTAAGAATTGATTTTCCCCTTCTCTCCTCTCCGCACAAGCGGAATTGCTAAACAATATCACTGTTTTCCTTTCGTGTCTATGTAATATCTGTTACAGAGTCCATGTACAACATCGCATATTTGGAAATTGACATGGAAAACATGTTTACCATTCTCTCTTTTCCATGTCCTTGCATGTGACATGAAATCATGTTTCCTCAAGTGTTTTTTTTATAATTTCATAATAATCTTTTTCGTGTGCTGCTGACATGCCTGCAAATTGATAGGACTGTGTCCTTACTGACAAATTAGCCACAAGATGCATTTATAATACATTTCCCACTAAGATTTCAGTGCAAAAATATTGTTGTTGAATTACATTAGTGAAGGGGTTATCCTCTTTCACTATGCAAACAACATTTTCAGTCTGAAGAGTTTTTGGCTATGAAATTGCTAAGTTCTCAGATTTTAGTCTTTATCCAGTACACTTATTGTTAATATTCAATCAGTATCAGTATTCAACTCATTCATCTGATCACAATATCTTGAAGAAGCTCTTGATATTATTTATAGCCGGAAGTTTCTTTAGACTACTTGTTCATGCTGAAACCTAATCATTTCTCTTTTCATTTGTTTGCTTATGTCTTTTATATATATTACTCATGTGGATCCATCAGTCTCTGCTGTTCCTTTGACAGTGAATTCTTCAAATAAAATAAAATAAAATAAAATAATTGTGTGACAATTGTCGATTTAAATCTCCTTTGAAATGTCTATTGTGTTGCTTCTTGATATGCTATTTTTTACATATATCAAGGTATTTTATATGGGCAGACAAGAAGAATACATGACGTGTTCTGATGATATTTACATACACCCTCCTTTTCTTATTCTCTCTTTTTTCTTACGTTGATAGTTCTACTTGAGTTTTATGCACCTTGGTGTGGACACTGTAAGAAGCTGGCTCCAATCTTGGATGAAGTAGCTGTCTCGTTTGAGAAGGATGCTGATGTGGTCATTGCAAAGATGGTAATTCTCCTTTGCTGCAAGTCTAGAACTAACCAATTGACCACTGCATGTGCATTATCTAATAGGGAAATGTGCTTGCGTCTCTTTACATGGTATATGCATGCATGCAATTTACTTTATGTCACCATGGCATTTAGGAAGGCCGAATTCAGAACAGAACTCATAGGAGTGGATAGGATTAGTAAATAACTTTTCTACCTTGTCTTTTAGCATCTCTTATTGCTAGTATTTATACAGAAGAAACTGATACATGAGATATAAGTAGGAAGTTAGACGAGTCCTACTTCTTAAGCCTAATCCAAAGAAAAAGAGGTAAATATGAGATGAGGAGATATAGCCAGGGAAGAATTAAAAAAAAGGTAAACGTAATATGAAATGCTTCAATGCATCCAGTGAAGAAAATCTATACAAATGTAAACATAATAGGAGATGTTGCTACAAGTCCGCTTCCCTGCTGCACGGTTTTATAAGCATCATACACAGACAATTTTTTATGGCTTGCTTTCTTGACCTGCTTATTAAGACCTTACATTTTCCTTTTCCTCATCTGGAACAGTTTGGAGAAAACTCTAGTTTGTAGCCAAATGTACCGTAAAAAGTAATGAATCTACACTTTAGAAAACTGTAATAATGGAAGCAGTAACAGTTGAAAATATCAAAATCAAACAGTGTTATTTTCTAATTTTTAATAGATTATTTAGATGCATTTGTTCATCTTCAAAAGAGATTCAGACAACTCTGCATTACTCTACTCTGTTTTTGCACAAAATTCTTCTTATTAGTGATGATTTCTTTTTTGGGATAATTAGTGATGATAATCTCTTTGTTCTTGAGATTTATCCACGCTTCTGTTTTCTAGGATGCTACTGCAAATGATATCCCAGGTGATTTCGATGTTAAAGGATATCCAACTATGTACTTCTCTTCCGCTAGTGGAAAGGTTATGCAATATGAAGGAGGTAGAACAGCGGAGGACATCATTAATTACATAAAGGAGAACAAGGACTCCGCTGCTTCATCAGAAGTGCCAGTTCAGTCCTTAATGGCAATTTTGTTCCCAGCCGAGGAGCCTCTCTTCTTGTCTTCTCGGATCTGTGCAGTGAATCATGGAATTCAGCTAATGTTTGCCACAGAGTAGCATGTTTTGCTCAGCTTGGTGAGGAGAATCAGTTACACTCGGGTATGTAGAATTTGCTCTATTCAGTACATTTCTCTGGATGTTGTTGTTTTGGATTTGTTTCCTATGGCCTAGACGGGGAAATGCTTTCCGGGAGACTGTGTTGCTGTTATTGGTTTTGCTGTACATGTCCATGTGGGTTTCGCTGGAAAAGCTGGTTTGCCTTCTTGCTGGAAATGGTTGTACGTTTCGGAAATCACTGTAGCAAGTCTTCGTTCTCTTGCTGGAAATGGCATTTTGTGCATATCAAAATTCACTGTAGCAAGAGGAAGTTTGTAATTAATGATACAAATTTGATATTGTTGTTTCTAGTTTTCTTGATGTAATCTGTTTTTGAGAGACTTTATGTACCTGGGTATGCAAGAGGAAGTTTGTAAATTAACGCTTTAAGCGCTCAAGGGGAAATGGAAAAATAGACTTTTATGTTGATGTGAATGAGATCAAATTTTTTGTGGATGTTCAGATTCAGTGTAGGCTTGTATTTGACAGAAAATATATTATTTTTGGCGATGCAAATTAGTAATATTTTAGCGACATATTTCCGCGTCGCTAAAAGTATACTTTTGCCGACGCATTGCCCTTTGCCGACGTTAAGTACGTCGCCAAAAGTGCAAGATTTCCCGACGCCGTTTCGCATATGGAAAAATTCAGCATGCTTTTGCCGACGCAAAATAATATGCGTCGCTAAAAGATGTACTTTTCTCGACGCATGTTGCGTCGCCAAAAGTGTACTTTTGGCGACGCAATGTATTTGCGTCGCTAAATACTTTCCTTGACGCACTTTTGGCGACGCGTTAGCGACGCTGTATTTTGCGTTTGCGTCGCTAAATACTTTCCTTGACGCACTTTTGGCGACGCGTTAGCGACGCTGTATTTTGCGTCGGAAAATATTTTTCCCGACGTTTTTTAAACATTTGCCGACGTTTTTGTTTCGTCGGCAATGTTGTATTTTGTTGTAGTGTGCTGGTTTCTGGTGCTCTGCCTTCACTTGCTGACAGGTGAAATACTTAGCCACATATTCTGCAATCTCTCTACGCATACCACTCCACCAAAAGTGTCTTCTCAGGTCCTTGTACATCTTAGTGGTTCCTGGATGCACTGTATATCGGGTACTATGTGCTTCATCAAACAACTCCCTCTTCAGCTCCACACTAGCCGGTATAACCAATCGACCCTTCATTCGAAGGCCTCCATCTGCTCTAATGGTCCAATCATCCTTGGGTTCTTTGGAAATTTTCTCCTTCCGGATTTGAATCCAAGAGTCCTCTAACTGAGCTCTGACTACTCTGTCCCTCCAAGATGGATGCACTTATATAGTTCCCAAGTATGCGCTGGTCCCACCAATCTCTGGCCTAAAATCGAACTGATTAAGAGTGAGAAGATCTCGATACAACGAGCACCTCAAAGCCGCAACCTGATGTCGACGCTTCCTGTTCAAAGCATCTGCTATGATGTTCGCCTTCCCCGGGTGATATAGAATCGCGAACTCGTAGTCCTTGATGAACTCAATCCATCGCCGCTGCCTCTGATTAAGTTTCTTCTGAGAGAAAAGGTACTTCAAACTCTGATGGTATGTGAATAGCTCGAACTGAACTCCATATAAGTAGTGTCTCCATGCCTTCAGCGTGAATACTACCGCTGCTAACTCCAAATCATGAGTGGGGTAGTTCTGCTCATGCACCCTCAACTACCGTGAGATGTATACTACTACCCTCTGAGTCTGCATCAAGACACCTCCCAAACTTGCTAACGACGTATCCGTATATACAACAAATGTCCTGTCACTGTTCGGAATAGTAAGAACCGGCGTCGTAGTCAACTTAGCCTTCAAGGTATCAAAGGCCTTTTGGCACTCCATGCTCCAAGTGAACTGTACATCCTTCTTCGTAAGGCGTGTAAGTGGCATTACAATCTTCGAGAAGTCCTGAATGAACTTCCTATAATAGCTGGCTAGTCCCAAAAAGCTACGAATCTCGGTAACCGTCTTCGACGGTTCCCAATCAAGTACTACTGAAACCTTAGCTGGGTCCACTGCTATGCCCTCTCTGCTGACAACATGGCCAAGAAACCTGACCTCAGAAATCCAAAACTCACACTTGCTAAACTTAGCATATAGCTGATGCTCCCTCAAAGTCTGCAAAGCCAAACATAGAACTGCTCATGCTCTGACTCCGATCTCGAATAGATAAGAATATCATCGATGAATATAATCACGAACTGGTCCAAGTATGGACGGAAGACCCGGTTCATCAAATCCATGAATACCACGGGTGCATTGGTCAACCCAAATGGCATGACCAAAAAATCGAAGGACTCATATCGAGTCAGAAAGGCGGTTTTGGGAATATCCATCTTCCGAACCCACAACTGATGATAACCAGAACGAAGATCAATCTTCAAGAAATATTACGCTCCCTGCAGCTGATCGAAAAAGTCATCAATCCGAGGCAGAGGATATCTATTCCGGATAGTGACTTTGTTCAACTCATGGTAGTCGATACCTAATCGCATACTACCATCATTCTTCTTCACGAAGAGGACCGGCGCTCCCCACGGAGAATGACTCCGACGAATAAAGCCCTGAGAAAACTACTCATCCGACTGGGTCTTTAGCTCCCTCATCTCAGAAGGTGTCATGCGATAGGGTGCTCGGGATATCGGGGCTGTGTCCGGCTACAACTCAATACAAAACTCAACCTCTCTCATAGGAGGCAACCTAGGTATGTCCTAAAAGACATCCTGATAATCTGAGACAACTCTAGTCTCGCATATATCAACACTCTGATCCCGAAGCATCACCTCATCAATGTACGCCAGTAATGACTCCGCAAACTGGTTCCCTTGAGAGGTTGCTACAACTAACTCGGACCCATCTAACGCTCACAACTTGACTGTTTTCGCAAAACAGACAATACTGACGTGGTAGGAAGATAGACAATCAATACAAAGAATAACATCGAACTCTGACATGCTCAACACTATCAGATCGACCACAAACTCAGACTCATCTAAATTGATAATACACCTCCTATAAATACTCTCCAAGAGTGGCATCTCACCTAGAGGGATAGAAACTGACAAATGAATGTCTAGAGACTGAGCTACGAGCTGAAGTCTAATCATAAATGCATAAGATATAAAAGAGTGCAAAGCCCCTGAATCGAAAAGAATACGGGCTGGAAAGGAGTTCACAAGGAACGTACCCTCCACTACGGCCCCGCTCGCACCATGATCACGAGGAACTACTGCATGCACTCTGCCGGTGGTTGGAGGCTGCTCTGCTACTGGAGGTGGAGCATATGGAACTACATGTCCCTGATGGACCTCCTGGACTGCATGAACCTGTCCCTCAATCTGTGGTACTACAGGCGGTACCTCAAGTCTCATCTGCTAGCCCTGACCTCGGCCCTGAAATCAATTCTGCTGCTGATTCTGCCATTTCCCTTGTTGGGCTCCTGCTGGTGCACTGCGACACTCTGATGCTTTGTCACCAAAATTGTGACACTTAAAACAAGTGCCCTGGAAATTGCGTTGCTGAGGCGCTCTCTGGTCCTGCTGGGGTCCTCTCTTATGAGGGCCTTGCTACTGTTGCTGCTGCTGATGGGGTCCTGAAAATGGCCTCTTATTCTTACCCTTATCCTTAGTATTCCCTTCCTTGTCCTTCTGGAACATAGCTGACTCATTTTCCTGTGAAGTGGCAGCATCAGCTACCTCTCGAACTGAGTAGAACTTCCTAGAAACGAGGTATCGACGAAGGCTAGGGTGAAGTCCTGCTAGAAACATCTGTGCCTGGCGTTCTCTGGTCTACCACATGCCCGTGAAGTGAAGCAAGCTCATAAACATGCTCTCAAAATCAGCTACTGATATGTCTCCCAGAGTCAATCTGGACAACTCAAGCTCTTTCCCGGCCCATGCCGCGGAAGAGATATACTCCTCATCGAAGAAGTAGACGAAATCCTCACAGGTGAGGGTCGTCCTCTGCTCTGGTGAAAACTGCAACCAATACCATATCCCTGCATCCCCTTTGAGACTGTAGGATGCCAGTCTCTGCTTCTGAACTGAAGTCATATTAAGTATCTCAAGAATGTTACTCACATCCTCCTTCCACTTTTGTGCTGTAAGGGAATCTAATAATCCATGAAACTCCGGTGCTCTCATCTTCAGGTATCTCTCCACTAGGCAGAGCCAAGCCTCCTGCCCTACGGCTCTATCAGCAACTGCTTGTGGGGTGAGTTCCGATGTGTCCTCCGGAAAATCCTCTGCAATGGGAATAGCTGGTACTACCGGTGGTAGAACTACTGGTGGTGGAACTACTGGTGGTGGTGGTGGTGTGATATGATTCATCACGAGCTCCTCAAGTGCTTCCATCCTAGCAGCTATGGGAGCCATCAAATCTATCAAATATTGGGGAGCCTGCTACGGCTCAGGTGGAGCTCGCTGAGGCTCTGGTAGAACCTGTTGTGGTTCTGCCTGACCAGCTCTCCGGGTACGAGATCTACCACGTCCGGCCATCTGAGCACATAGAAGAAGGTTTATAAGTCCTCGAACAAAACATATAATAAATTCATATCATATATCATTCACACAAATACTTTTAATATCATAAAAAAATATTCGTAATTTTGAATACGCGTATATAACATCCTTACTCATTCTAGAAATTTCTAACGGACTCTATACATAAATCTTAAGAAACTCTACTCTAACTCCACGACTTGACACAAGAATGATCCTAAGGATACTGGAACTAGAGCTCTGCTACTAACTGTGACGCCTCTGGTTTCAATAAGGTTGCAGTCCAAGGTCAAACCAAGAATGTCAAACCTACCAACACCAAACACCATGTTATAACATGTTTCACCATCACAGTTACTACATATCTAGTAGAATCAACAACAGGTGTAGGTACACAACAAGCAAGAGAGAATATACAGAAGGAAAACTAAACAACAGATACTCTGAAGAAAATCATCACCACTGATATAAATAGATAAATCTTTGAAAAGAAAACATCTGAGCTGAATACAAGTGCCTCGACATAAGAAATCAAATGAAATGACATTAAGGCACATCGCCTTTACAAAACTAGAATAATAACTCAAATGTTCATAAATACATCTACTGTGGAGTTCTGACATAAACTACTAATAAAAACTATAAATAGTAACTAGAGCAACTCCATCAAGCTACGGCTCTCCGTGCACCTGGCTCGTTACCTGAAATTGGTGAAACAACGAGCGTCAAGCGCTAGCGGGTAACATCTTAACCAACCCCAAGGGGAAGGGCTAGAATGATAAGAAAATAGTTGGTAATACACATAGATAGTCAATCATCGACTGTAAAAATAAAATGGAGGTTTGGTGTTTAGAAATTTACAACATAAGCATAGGTACGTCTCCCTCAGCTCCAATTGTAAATATCTAAATATC